TTCAGCTCGAACGGAAGGAACTTCTGTCCTTCCTTCTCCCACTCAGGGTCAGGCACAAAGCCGCGAGCTGGCCGCTCCCATGGAACGAGAATGAGTCGGCCAGGAAGGCCGGTGATAGCACTCTTTCCTCGCCAGATTTCGTCCACAAGGAAAACGACATCATCCTTGGTGATTGGAAGACGAAGGCCAATGACATGTTGACCAACCTCAACTCTCGCCAACCGTTCCATGAAGCCCTGGGTAGCCGTCTGGACCGAGTCATATATCTTATCCTTGCCCTTTCTGGCAATGCTGTAGTCTCTTGGGTAGCCTGCAATGTCGCAGATGACATGATTTGCCACAGTGTATCCAAAGACTGCAGGCATGGTTCCAAGAACAGGTAAGATTCGTGCGCGGAAATCCGGCAGAACGCTGAGCTCGCCAACCTGGCCCTTATTGAATTCTTCCTCTGCAAGTGGCAAAAGACTAGCCTTGCCTGGGCCGGGCTTCTCCGTCGAGAATACTACCGGAATACCAGTGCTTACTCCGAGGATCTTAAGACGTCGGCGAGTGCTGCGCGAGAGAGGGTCGTCCGTGCTAGTCGAGATATCACCCACTGTAACGCACGTAGGGTCGGACTTGCACCCTGCGCCCATAGAGGAAATCACAGGAATAGAGTTTGAATGGCAGTAATGGAGCAGCTCGACTTTTGAGGTAATATTATCGATACAGTCCAGCACGTAATCTGGCTTTCGCCCCTTGTCGCTATCGTCCATCGACCACGGAGCAAGTAAATCATCGGCAACTGATCCGCTGAAGAGTTCATTTCGACAGTCAAACTTGGTCCATGGTGTAATTTGTTCCAGCCGTTTGCGGATGCAGTGCACCTTCGGCGTACCGACGTCGGCAAGCGTCGCGAGAGCATGTCGGTTTAGAGAGGATAATGTGACTTGGTCAAAATCAATCAGTCGAATTTTAGAAACACCCGACCGGGAAAGGGAGGCTGCAGCATGCGATCCGACACCTCCACATCCCACAACGATTATGAATGATGAACGAAGCTTCTCAAGACCCTCGTCGGTAAGGAAGACACGATTACGGGCAAGTTGTTCAAGGATAAGCTCTAAGCAAAATCAATAGTCAGCTAACAAGTCGAGACAATTTCCACGAGATATATGTATTTACCGTCGTCGTAGTCTCCCATCTGCGCTCTGCGCGCAAGCGCCGCACTGCGCTCATCTTCCTTGCTCAATTGTTGTACAGGGTCTGCGCCGCCGAATTTGGTAAGCTGCATGCAGAGTTAGCAATGAAGAGCGTACCGTATATAGTGCAAACCGAGTACCTTCCCAGCAATATGTTTCTCATCGATATTAGGAATAGAGGCTTTCAGTTCCTTGACGGCTTCTTTCCTTTTGAGCGCTTGGTACCCAAAGATAGCTCCTGCGACAGCGGCCCCCGAGAGTACGGCTGTAGCGGCAAGCTGTGTCTGCTGGGAGCCAGCGTGCCGCTGTATCCAAGAAGACATTTCAATAATCTATCTCTGGCGATTCTATGTGATTTCTGACTTGAGAACGCGGGGGACAAACGTCAATGAACAGCTCAAACGATCTAGGAGTTGTCAGATCAATGCGCATAGATTTTAAAAATGAATAGTTCTGGGAGAAATCCTTTCAGGGTCAAGAAGTGCTTACCATTGCGATTTTCCAAGATAGAGTGCCTATGCCTCATACGTAATGCCATAGAATTTCTCGGAGTCTCGCCGGCGGTCACTATACGGTCACGTGCACTCACTTGATGAGTTCTAGAACAAAAAACAACTAATCTCCGTTCTCTCTCCCCCTCAGCAAGTTGGTTATCTAAATCTGGCTGGCAAACCAGGTGAGTTACTTACGTGTCTTTATTCTAATTTCGAGTGTTTCTATTGACTCAAACGCGTATAGATCTTAGAATGACTACTTTTCGTAATCCCGATGACGATAACCCTTCACTAGAGCTTTTCATGACACCTGCGTATCGCACGATACAAGGCGATGGACTTTATCCTTCGCACTGCCGAATGGAAGAAGACATCATGCTGCAGTGTGGGTGATTGAGACATGAACAGAGATCTAAGGGATTACCAAAAGCAAGTCTCTCGCGTACCTGTGGCGATGTCGCGTTGCGTTCGCACGGTTGAACACAATATATCTTCCAAAGCTCATATCCTATATTTTTCAATGCTCAAAATCTAGAAGCTGGGCTGTGCTTGCGCACTTTTATCTTCATTTTTGAAGAGTCGTTATTTGCTCGACTACGGGCACCGAAAGGATTCTTTCGGGTTACTGACATTATCTCTACATTTGTTATCCTCGAGATTGCTCTCCTTCCAGCTTCGATTAACCCACCCCAGCATACCAACGCATATATCTTAACTCCCCTCGCACCGTATAACCAGTTATCTCACATACAACATGGCCAAAAAGAGAGACAGAAAAGAAATGACTCTTCTTATTGACTCTTGACATGAGCTACTTTGCTATCTAACAGATAAATGCTGTTTGTTTTTTTATCTGTTTTCCTTCCCCCTTTTCTTTCTTCAAGGAGTTCATATGTCCATGATTGCAAGCCCGGTGACGAGGTGAAACCAAAAGCCAAAGTTGTATGGTATCCGGCAATTACGTGTGCAAACACGGTTCACAACAGCCTGGAAACCGATGAGAACCAGAGAGCTAATCTGAGGGCCACTCACCAATCCAATTATTTTTGTTTATTTTTTGCTTTATTAGTAAGGAAATGCTTTCAGGGGTTGGCAGTTGAAGTACATGGTTATTCTATCCACATGAACTATGTTCAGGAAAGTTCACTCTGTCAATATCGACCATTACAGTTCATCTCGTTACTGGTGTTAAGGCTGATCTTTGGCTTGGTCATTTCAACGCCTCGGAGTCTTGCCTATAAGGATATAGAATGTAGAGTATCCGGAAGAAACAAACACGTGCGATAATGCAAATAGATGATACGCTTAATTGTAGAACAGATAGAAAAAATAGAGGTCAAGTTTCTATTGCTAGTCTCGGAGAACGAAACACGAAAGGGGCCCAAAGCTAGATTACTACTTAGCCAACGAGAGCCGATGTTCGTTGACCCTGACGGAACTTCATCCATCGTGTGCATAGAATTTCTCAAAAAAAAGGGGGGTATAGATATCCTGTAAACAGATGCACTAACATGTAAATTAGAGTTTATAAACTTCTAACAGCTAGAGCCAAGCCAGAGTCCACAGTGCCGGCAAATTCGGCCACTTCTCCTGCCAAGCCGCAAGAATTTCCGGGACCTTCTCATCGAAACTCCTCCGAGCCTCACCGGTTCCGTTTTCCCAGCCTTCAGGATTACTTGCTTTGCGTTCCTGGATGGCAGCCTCGTTGAGCCGATTAGCTAGGTCGAGAATGGCCTTTCCTCCGACCAGAGCTTCCTCGTGGTTATCTTTAATATCGACATTGAATACATGGACGGGTCGGTTGAGGAGCGATCCTTTATTCATGAGATCGTCAACAACGGCATCCCAGCACCGCTCCTCACAGGTGATAATGACATCGACCACACCGCCCTCGGTCCCCAAGGCACCTTTGTCGCCTTTGGAGACGTGGTCCACGCGGGGCATACCTGGGACCCAGTCTTGGAAGCGCTCCGGGCCCCATTTCAGGTTCCGGTTGCGTTCGAGCATGTTTAAAAGCCCATTGTTACGATAGAGCCTCTCGTCCTTGGAGAACAATTCCTCGTACATTTGAGAATACGAGGTGGTATTGAAATTGTACACATTAGGTTGCGTAATGGACGGGCCTGGCAGACGGACCAGGGAGCCCGTCCCGAAGGAGATAACAGGGAAGGGAGACGGTGCAGTAGATAGACGGAGATGGGCTTCCATCGAACGGTTTTGGTTCGATGCGCACACCGTGCAAAATCTAAGTTTGTAAGAGTCTGACTGCTGCTCCGGGGAGGGACCGGCTGCAGTCCCGTCTGAAGACTCGGTTTCTGTTGGTGCTGCCATGGCAGACTCAGGAGGGGGAGGGGGAGGAGGCGGGGGATCCGGAGTTGCAGTGCCCGCACTGGCTAATCGTGGATCATAGACCATGTTGCAAAGAATTATATGCAGACCAACCGAAGAATAAGTGTGTATGTGTGATGAGGAAGGGGAAGGGTTCAGTAAGAATCAAGGAGGCTGGAAGATGTGTTCACTCGTAGGTCCCTGCAACGACTACGCGGCATTAGCAACGTCACACAAAAGCAATTCGGTGAGCAACGGCAACAGAAAGCAAATTCCATTAATTTCAGAAAGATGAAAAGCGTATAAATAGGTTTGTCCGCATAATGTTCTCGGACAGCTCCAATAATAGAGATCATCATGTAATGGGAATAAGAAGGCGGGCGAAAGAAAAGAAGAGTGTCCGTACCTTAGAGGGTCGTCGCATTATCTGCAACTAGATCTATTAACTATAATTCTGCGGCTGCATTTGTGTTGAGCAAGGGCCGCAGCCCTGGGGGATAAACAGGAGAGAAGAACTTTGCGAGTATTTTGCATCCGCGTCGAAGCTTTTGTGGTCACGCGTGCTTAGTCATCACTAGCTTTTCCCGAGGCTTCCTCAGGTATCAATACTACCGTGCCTCAAGGAAGGTGTGGGGTCGAGGACGTTCTCTGGCAGAGAGCATGGTGGGTTTCACCACTTGATCTGCAAATGCTTTTCTAATTTGTAGTTGTGACATATGAAAGGAAGCCCATTGGACTATACAATTACGTAGTCCATATACTACTAGCACCATGCGTAGATACCAGATAAAGAATGTTTGCAAGGCGTTGCACACTGAGGGGTAACCAAAGTGAACCTCAGTAGAAAATGTCACCCGGAATTGCACCAGGAGCTTCCTTGCGTTCTATCGTAGCCTGACCGGTAAACCTCCCACTCAGTAACTACAAGAGAACCCAAACACCGGGTCAGCTGTTCCAGAACAAACTAGTGAAAGAGAAGGAAGGGCAAGAACTCAAGATGAAGGCAGCCTTACTCGTGGTTGACATGCAAGAGGACTTCTGTCCACCCGTGGGTCGCCTTCAAATTCTACATCCTATTACCTAGAATGTCTGACACTGATTTCCAACAGCACGGAGTTCTTCTAGTCCAGGAAGGGCGCACCATCGCACCTATTATAAACGATTTGCTGGCACTTCGGGGGTTCGCGGTACGGGTGGCCACACAAGATTACCACCCAGCAGACCATATCTCCTTTGCCAGCAGCCATCCCCCTCCCAACAACCGCCCTTTTGAGAGTGTGATCACGGTGAACAACCCAGCACCGGGGAAAACACAGGAAACCAAACCACAGAGCCTGTGGCCGGCGCACTGTATTGAGAAAACCAAGGGCGCTGGAATTATCCCTGAGATTAATACCAGTAACATCGACTTATATGTGAAGAAAGGTCAGCACAGTCAGGTGGAAATGTACTCTGCTTTTGCCGATGCTTTTGGGAATGTTGATCCTTCTATCACGGCTCAATCGGTTGATGCCGATCTCAAGGACTTCCTGGCTAGTAAGGGCGTCACGGACGTCTTCGTGGTCGGGTTGGCGGGCGACTACTGCGTCAAGCATACAGCTATTGATGCCGCGAGGGTAGGCTTTAAGAGTTACGTGGTTGAGGATGCCACTCGCTGTGTCGTGCCAGGTTCGGGTTGGGACGAGGCCAAGCGGGAGTTGAGGGAGGCGGGCGTATCCATTATTCAATCCAATGGCCCTGAGATTTCCGGTCTGGCAATCTGAGCTCTCATATCGTAATCGTTCAAATGTGACTGACCAGGGTGGACTCTTTCTGAATCATTGTTTTGTTGGATGGCGGTGTGCTTCTTGCTGACCTGGTCATAGAAGGTTTGTCACCCGAACTGAGCGACGATTTCAATATCAATCTAAATAGTTCAGTTTGAGATGGAGTTGCAGCTTTCGACATGTCCTACAGACTAATGCAATGTATATCCCGGATTTGATTGATACTGTAGTAGATAAGGACAAACGGTGTACCTTAACGAGGGCCACGAATGCAACGGCCCCGACGCCACAATTCTTCTAGCGACAATGATCGATGCAATAGACTACTAGTCACATAAAGATATTACCTGACAATGATCCGAGGGACTTGGCCTCGAATAGAATCTGATATCATACCAATTTGGACCAATATCCCTAGATGTTATTCGATATGAAGCTCCGGCATGACAGGTCTCCACTGTGACGTATGTCCGCGCATCCCTTTAATGGCGATAACCAACTCCAACTAGCGAAGGGCCACCACCGATCACAGTAGAAGAATCCCCAGCTAGGATGAGATCTCTGATTTGCCCATCATGAAACAAGGGCATGTAGCAGCCGTAAGCCGACAATCCCTTCTTGAATGGTTCCGGGGCGTGGGTCATAGAACGACGATCATCGAAACCGTCGGCTGCCACGCATCCGGAAGCAATCCTCGACCGTTATTAGGGTATGGGGTAATCAAATCACGTCTCCTTTCCTCGGTTTAAGGGATGCTCCCACTGTTCCCACACAATACCCTATCCATTTTCTATCTACGAGAGGTTGTTCTACACTGTTTAGTGGATCTTGTATGTCCGTCATGGCGACCACGCTTAGACCTTCTGCTTCTGCCGCAGCTTTGACTTTCCTCGATAGAAAGTTGGAAGCGCCCGATGTGAGGGCTGCTGCGACGCTCTCGCGCCCTACTCCCAACCTGTCGGGCGAATCCTTGCCGTATTGGCTGGTCAACGTCCCTCCTGACAGATGCCCGGCTGAGTGCCCAAGCTTTCTCCTTAATATCTGTGAGAAGAATATCCAAATACTGTCGACTCCTGACGAACAATATGAGAGGCAAGGGTGGGAACTAGTGAAGGAGATTATCCGTAAGTGTTCGACAATGTGTGTAGGGGATAGTTCGGGACCGCAGCTAAGGATCTAGGTACCAATCAAATCGATCGCTTCCAACGCCTGCCCAGTGATTTGAGAAAGTATCTCGAATATAAGGATTGGATTGTCGCCGAGTATGGGTCAGTCATGCGGTTTGTTGTAAGGGAACGACTACGCTGGGGGGAAGGCAGTCCTGACGACCTCAAGCCCAGAGGGCGCCCGTTTGAGTTTGACGGTGAGTTCATGTCCAATCTCGCGGGATACGGATGTCTGGACCAAGTCGCTGATAGTGTTTGTAGAGGATATTCGAATTCTGTACAACGACTGGCCGTACGGAATCGAGAAAGGTATCATCCATTTAGTGGTGTGGACCAAGTTCGAGCTGGAAGATGACCCAGTGACCGACGATCTGACGCCGCGGGCCAGACAGGAGATTGATAACTATGTGAAGAAGACGTTTTGTTCGCGAGTACCATCAGAGAAAGTATGTATCCCGTGCGTGAGGTGGATATGATGTCTGCTGCCTTCGTGATTGCGTCCCATGGTCAAGTGACGACTGACCATCATTGCAGGTCATCTGGTTCAAGAACTGGAAGTCTCTCAAGTCAGTGCATGCGGTAGAACACTTTCATGTCATGTTATATAAACCGGATCCGGGATTCCTGAAGGAAATCACTGGAGGAGATGTACCGATGGTTGCAAGGACGTGAGGGTTGTTTAGGGGTAGTAGTAGTAGAAGGAGGAGCCTGGAGGTACTCGACTGTTGCTGCTTCAAAGCGCGAGAGATCCCGCCGTCTTTTTTCTACTTTGGCGCTGATTTGGATTGGATATGTTTCGGGTCACATAAATTATGCTTGTTTTCGTCTTAGTGCCGTCCATGGTCATGGTTTTTTTGTTTTTTCTATATTTTTCTTTCTTTCTTTCTTTCTTCTTTTTCTTTCTTTCCCCCCAGATGACTAGCTCTAGGTTATCTGGGATAGAAGTTGATAAGATAGAGTCAATAATCCAAGACCGCGCGACTCGAAGGATTGACTGTATAGAATGGCTGGATGTACAGCACCAGTACTGCAAACCCGAAGTACTCCGTAAATTACTGGAGTCATGGAAATGGAACGTTCATCGAACAACCTCCGAAGACGATAAGATACTCTGAATGGCTACGTAATCCCCACTTGCCAAGATGTGCTTCCGGCCCCTCTAATAACAGTAGTACTAGTAGACTACTAGTATCGATGGAGCTCTCGGAGGATCGGTGAGAAAAACTTCCTCTGGTTGAGCATGTGTCCAGGGGGAATTCTCTATGGCTCAATGATTCCACAGGTCTATGACCATGAATGATGGAACCGTACTGTATGCAAAAGACTTTCTTTCAGTTTAGGTCTACTCTTAGTCAAAAGAGGGGTACATACAAAAACCGTATACATACATACATACATCCATCCATCCATCCATCACGGCGGCATGTCTGTAGGTATCCGGGGGAGTGGTGGGAAATGGGAGGTGATCTTCTGTTGAGATTCATGCATTCCTTTTTCAGAGCACATCTTTCTCGTTTTTTCCTCAAGTATCCACCGCAGCTTATATAAATCATAACCCACCTCAGCGGGTACCGATTTCCTCTTCCTCGTTTTTCTTTTCGAATACAAATTCCCTTTGATTGTTAAGGATTTTCGAGGGACAGAAAACTGGGTTGTAGTTCCTTGTCTTTCAATATTTATGAACCTGATTGATATCAGGTGATTGAATTGCAGTCCAACAACACCCAATTTTTTTTTTTTTTTTTTAATTGATTAAAGAAGGAACAAAAACAGAAGAAGAGAACGAATACGAACTTAAAAATATCCCAACGCGACAACGGAGTTTTACTACTTCTATTCTGCCCCAAGCGACAAAACCAAAGAACTTTCTCGAACTCCATTCTTCAAGATTGTTCATTGTACTGTACTTGTGACTAGGTAGTAGGCAGTCATGGCCATACTGCCGCATATCCGCCGCCCGTCGTCGTTGGCGAGTCCTGCTACGAGTAAGTTACATACATTTGACTTTACAGACTTTAAACGTCACCTTTCCGCCTTTTTTTTTATTTTTCTGTTATATTTCCCTCCCACCTTCAAAAACGTCATCCCCTCTCTCTTACTCAAGCCCCCCCTCCCTTCCTTCCCCCCCATACTTTTACACCATACATACATAACATACAGCCATACATACATCCTTAATTTTTGTAGTCCATTTCTTTCTCCCCTCAACACCATATAGTTGGCATCCCACCATTTTTCTTATACCTCTTCTCCCCTCCCTCCCACCATGTCTGCTGACTGGGGCTCCTTCTTCAACTCCTCAGGTAACCGTTCATCCACGGATGAACCCAATGTTGTGGCCGGGGATGATGACACCGAACCCGACCAGGGTAATGGTACGTAGAAAGAAAGAAAAAAGGAAAAAAAAAAGAACAAAAATCCTCCCCGCTGTCAAAAGCAAGAGAGAACTCTCTTGCAGTGACATCTCCTAGGGAGCTTAAAAGCTGACCTCTCAGTCCTGTCGCACATTATCAGCCAGCTCCGCCCCGGAGCTGATCTGAGTCGGGTGGTGCTGCCTACCTTTATTCTAGAACCACGGTCCATGTTGGAGCGGATCACCAAGTATGTGCTATCGCTGTCGGTGCTGCGTTGATCAGAACTAATTCTACCTTGTCACTAGCTTCATGGCCCATCCGGAGACCCTTCTGCCTATGCCCACCGTCGATGATCCCCTCGAACGCTTCGTCTCCGTGGTCAAGTTCTACTTGAGCGGTTGGCACATCAAGCCTCCGTATGTCTGCTCTTGTGGCTCTCCATCACACGGGTGAACTGGAACCTTCGCTAACACTCTACGGCAGAGGTGTGAAGAAACCGCTCAACCCGATTCTGGGAGAAACCTTCACTGGCTACTGGGATTATCCGGATGGAACCCGCGGATACTATATCGCCGAACAAACTTCCCACCACCCTCCCAAATCGAGCTATTTCTTCATGGCCCCCGAGCACGGTATCCGGATAGATGGGACGCTGATCCCCCGCAGCAAGTTCTTGGGCAACTCGGCGGGAAGCATGATGGAGGGAATCGCCGTTTTGCGCTTTTTGAGCCGCGGTTCGAACAAGGACAAGGGCGAGCGATAGTATGTTTCGCCCATGTCTGCCTCCATTTGTGGCGCTGCTACTGACGTCAATTCTAGCATCTTGACTCAGCCGAATATGTACGCCCGGAATATTCTAATCGGAAAGATGAAATATGAGCTGGGCGACCATAGTTATGTCAGATGCCCGGAGAACAATCTGGTTGCCGATATCGAGTTCAAGACCAAGGGCTACTTCACCGGCGCCTATAACCAAATTGGGGGGACGATCAAGAATAGCGAGACCGGCCAGGTATATTACGAGCTTTCCGGCTATTGGAACAAGGAGATGTTCATTACAGATGTCCAGGTATGCTTGTTCCCCCCCCCCCCCCCCCCCACCAAAAAAGGCATCTACCAGCCACGGATATCTAACTGGCGCAGACCCACAAGAAAGAAGTTCTGTTCAATGCAAGCACCGCCACCCATACTCCTCCGCAGGTGCGGCCCATCGCACAGCAGGGCGAGCGCGAGTCGCAGCGGTTGTGGCAGACTACCGTCAAGGCGCTCGTGGAACGGAATCACGAGGTAGCCACGGATGAAAAGACAAAGATTGAAGATCGCCAGCGAGAAGAAGCAGCCAAGCGGACCAATGACGGAGTAGAATGGCATCCGAAACTCTTCCGTCGGGTTCAGGGAGGTCCTGGCGGCGCCGACGAAGGCGAGGAAGATCTTGACTGGATCATCAACGCACAAGTGTAAGTTCTCCACAGGCGTGCGGAATGGGTTCAAACTCACGAGTCGCAGTGATCCGCACAACCCCGAATTGGCCACCAAGCAAATTTTATCCATTGCCCCGATCTTAGAAGGTCAGACCGAGTCTTCTCAATACCAAATCCCACCTCACAAAGAGGGGTATGAGACGGCTCCACCTGACCACAACGGCGCCGTCCCGAGCGCAGCTCAGCCCTCCTCCGGGGGCGAAAAGCTCGAAGAGGTGCAGCGAAAAGACACGCGAACGTCGGATGTCGATACCTTCGTGGATGCTAAACCGTGACCGTATCTCCGTGGGGATACGTGTGACTCGCAGCTCGGCGGTTTAGTATCTAACCACCGCATCTCGAACCAAATCCAGGTCTCGAAAGGTTCATGAGATGACACAAAAAAGGGGAGTTTGAGAAGCAAAAAAAGAAATGGTAGCGCAAACCGGAGTTACAAACGTGGTTAGCCTATGGTGACGGAGCGAATGAAGGGACGTGACTGACTTGACTGTACATCAGAAGTATCGTCGGACCCTATGACTCCAGGCCCATGTTCAAAACCAGGTTTCGACCGATGTGCTTTACCGAACCTCTACTGGATACCCGATTGAATATTCTGTCTTTATAATTATTCTATCACATGGCAAAAAATAAAGGGTTGGTTGGTCAGCATACATATAGGAGTATAAGAAGGGCGGATGGGAGCATATAATCTGTCGAGTTTCTATCGTGATGTGAAGTGGTTATCCTAATATGCAGTTACAGTCATGCTCTTCCACAATATAATCAAATACATTGAGTTCTATTTCCCTTCGAACCGTACATAGCGGATTAGATATGATTCTAATAGGTTGTATATTGGATGCGATATGATCTTTAATATTAATATGGTACATTGAACTCCACTGGTATCACATACAGTAACCACCAAGACAACCGACACGATCAACGCCGATACCACCAACACCAAGAGACAAAATGCATACACTCGATGACAACAGAGACAGAGAGAGGGCGCGCCAAAAGGAAAGTAAAGAAGAGAATCAAGCAGAGAATAATTCCCCTCTCTGCCCAGCACCCCTCTCCAACTCCCGTCGTCGACTATTCTTACTCGCAGACCCACCGCCTTCGTTCTCCTCCCGCGCCTCATCCTGCTGCTCCATCTGCTCCTCGATCTCCTTCTCCGTATCCTCCCGCAGGCCCAGAATATCCGGCGGAATAAAACTCATCTGCACGCTGGGCGCGCCCTGCATATACCGCAACTGCTCGTGGATGGACTGGACAAGACCAGACAGGTAGCTGCGCGGGTTCTTATTCTCGAGCTTGCGCATCTCGCTTAGTGGCGGGAAGAGCGAATAATCTGGGCCGAAGTGGTTGCGGAAGGCGACAGTTTCGGGGATGTTGGGGTCGATGGTATCCTGGGCGTCGATGAGGATGGAGGTTTCGTGGGCCCAGGCGCGGGAGACGTTGCGGGGGGTGTAGCCGCCGCCGCCGACGACGAGGAGGGGGAGACCGAAGGTTTTGACGTAGGCGACGCAGGCGCGTGGGCGGCGACGTTGAGGTTGAAGCAGCCGAGGCGGTCGCAGCCGAGGGAGTCGGCGCCGCATTGGAGGACAATTGCGCCGGGTTGGTAGGTTGAGATGCAGGAGCCGACGACCTCGCGGAAGAGACGGATGTAGGATTCGTCGTCAATGCCGTCGTGGAGGGGGACGTTGACGGCGTGGTGTGCGCCTGGGTTCAGTGGGTGGGTTGGTCCGGTGCTGTCTAGGGCGCCGGTGCCTGGAAAGAAATTGTCTTTGTCATATTTGTGGAAGGAGACGGTCAGAACGCGATCGGTGGACCAGAAAGCTTGCTCGACGCCGTCGCCGTGGTGCACATCAATGTCGATGTACATGACGCGCGGGTGCAGGCGGAGGAGCTGTAGGATGCCGAGGACGATGTCATTTACGTAGCAGAAGCCGCTGGCCTCGGCCTTTTTGGCGTGATGAAGTCCGCCGGACCAGTTGATTGCGATTTCGGATTGGTTGTTGCAGAGCTTGCGAGCAGCGTCGATGGAGCCGCCAGCGTACAGGGAGCAGTAGTTGTACAGACCATCAAAGATGGGGCAGTCGTCGCCGAAGTTGAAGCGCGCAATATTCTCGCCTTGCTCTGGGTTCTCCATGTCGCCGGGAATGACCTGGCGAAGGAAGTCTAAGTAGTCTGTTTTGTGAAACTCGGCCATTTCTTCGTAGCTCGCTTCGCGAGCGAGATACAGGTCCATCGCGTGGTGCATGCCGTAGGCCATGACGAGTTGTTTGGTCAAAGTCAGACGCCAGGGTTTCATCGGGTGCGATTGACCGAAATGGTGCGGCTCGACAGCTGGGTTGGCATGCCAGGAGACACGGTAGCCTTTGGGGCGGGCGATCCCATTTTGTTGGCGTTCATGGATGGTCTTGTGGTCGAGGGTGAGGGTGGGCGTGGAGGAGGGAGGGGCGTATTCTTGGACAATGGCAGAGCGTGCCATGATGTGAATTGGGAATGAAGAGAGAGGACGGGAAGAGTAGGGAAACGAGCAGAGATGTCAGGTATCGAGAAAAGAGCCCCACTAGGAGAGCATTCTCAGAACATTCTGAGGCGGCAAAAGTGGAGGAGCAAAGGCGAGAGAGGGTGAAGAAGACGATACGATAAGCGGAAGAAATCCCCAGACGTCGGCATGCCAAGAAAATCCCGAGCTACGCCCGAACATTCAATTACTTAAGCTGTTCCCGATGTCGGCTTCTACCGCCGGTTGATATCATCGATTCTCACCTTCTTTTTCCACCCCGATAGCTTAATAAAGCTTGTCGGGGAGTTTCCTACTGTAGAACGCCCTTAACTGCCGACCCCGTTACCCGGTGTAACTCCCTCCGAGTGCATATGAAGTGGTGGATCCAGGCCGTCACCTTTTAAATCTTTTAGACCGGGCATAGTTACTGCCCAACCTATCCCTAAACTTGGTCTCCATCAACTACTACTCCAGGCTACCTCCTACACCTGATCCCCAACTAAATCCCTATACACACACACACACACACACACACAATGCCGATGGTAACAGCAGCTACTGGTCTTCGACGCACTCTTGAAGACCCAAACTCGTTCGTTGTCGCCCCCGGTGTATATGATGGCCTCTCTGCACGGATTGCGCTCTCCGTGGGCTTCGACGCCCTGTACATGGTAAATTAAGCTCGGTAGTCCCTCCACTTCCTCTCTAACTCTCATAGACGGGTGCTGGTACCGCCGCCTCTGTGCACGGACAAGCCGACCTGGGAATCTGCACTCTGAATGACATGCGCGCCAACGCCGAAATGCTCTCAAATCTTTCGCCAACTACACCCGTCATCGCAGACGCTGACACTGGGTACGGTGGTCCGATCATGGTCGCCCGCACGACCGAACAATACTCCCGCTCTGGCGTAGCAGCCTTCCACATCGAGGACCAAGTGCAAACAAAGCGCTGCGGGCACCTGGGAGGGAAGATCCTTGTGGACACGGACACCTATGTGACGCGCATTCGTGCGGCGGTGCAAGCACGACAGCGCATTGGTAGTGATATTGTGGTTATTGCCCGGACAGACTCCCTCCAGACGCACGGTTACGAGGAGAGTGTAGCACGTCTACGAGCAGCGCGGGACGCTGGCGCAGACGTAGGTTTTCTCGAGGGAATTACATCCAAAGAAATGGCAAGGCAGGTGGTGAAGGAGCTGGCTCCATGGCCGATGCTGCTGAACATGGTCGAGCATGGGGCGACCCCGTCGATCTCAGCAGCTGAGGCTAAGGAGATGGGATTCCGTATCATCATCTTCCCGTTCGCCGGTCTGGGACCCGCCTGTGCAGCCATGCGCAAAGCAATGGAAAAACTGAAGGCAGACGGTATCCCGGGCTTGTCCAAGGAGATGACTCCGCAGATGTTGTTCCGGGTCTGCGGGCTAGATGAGAGTATCAAAGTCGATGCAGAGGCTGGAGGGGCAGCATTTGAAGGCGGTGTTGATCTGAAGTAAGAGTTACGCCGCATTGTATGGTGAATGAGGCTCGGCTGCGAACATATGAGTAGCAGCATCGACTATGATCCTCTTGAACTAGAAATAACGAGGAGCTCGACCGGTGTCTCCGTATTGCATGATATCCTATACAGAGCTTGTGTTCGCATTATGATACCTTGGTCTCCAATTTTTTGTCATGTCTCGCAAAGCTTTCGTATGTTTCAGGATTAGTATGCACGGTGCCCGTCGGACAAGGGGCGCGGGAGACCAATATGCTTAGGCTGAGCGCATTGCTCCAGCACTACTCCGTATACGTAGCGCATCTCGTCTTTGGTCACGATGCCGCGTCACCAGCATACGATGTAGTAATTATACTCAGTGCTAATCTGGTTCGAAGAGGTAAAATAGAGTATGATCTTTGTTTGGCCTTGTGCGACTTTGACAGTGGGTAGTAGTGAGCTCACCGATGATCGCGAGTGCCTCACTATCAGATAATGGCAAGGACGCTCCTGGTCCGGGATGAAATGGAGCTGTAGGCGATGCCAAGATCACTATATGAAGCTGTGTCACGACCGATAGCTTGTCAGGTCCGTACCTGGTAGGGATTAACGGGCTCCGTGACTCCGTCATGAACAGTGCGCATTTTATGCCAAGAAGCTAGAGACGAGGTTATAGATAGGCTATTGATACTCATAAAAGGCATCCCAATCTTCCTCTGAAGGGAAAAGTGAGCCAGTCTGTCGACGGATGAAAGCACCCAAGGCTCAAGCGCAGTGTAGATACTCCGCATGGCGTTGCCCCGTACGCAGTATGCAAGTCGAACGAATCGGGGATAACTCTAAATCCAAGTGATGAGCTTGGCGGGCATCACATGATCTCTGCTTTGCCGACTGCCGACATAAGGTTTCAGGGATCATCCAAGACAGCTTACGAGTCCCTGGTCCGTGTAGGTGCCGGCCAGTATATTGATGGACCAAAAAGGGTGAACCTAAGAATATCCCCGGCTCAAATTTGGAGCGAGGAAAGCTGCTGCAGACATGCGATCAGGTCAGTCGATGCAATCTCCGGTTTCATGGTCAGCCCTTGCTTGGTTCCGTCGTCAACCGTGGAACGCGAACCCACAACAGTATTGTTTATTTATATCCCAATTGTGTAGTTTGTGTAGTTGCCATTTTACCCCGGATGTCCGTCTTCGTCATTTCCGATTTTGCATGGCGCCGAGATTTTCGAATGAGGGTAGTAGGCACATATTCCAGAAGCGTCCTAGGAATTTTCTGCTTTAGCGAACCGTCCGCTCGTATCCTCACAGGCCAACTGCCTGGGCCTAACTGGTGGCAATGGCAGTTGTGGGCTTGGACACAGGCACGGGCGACCAGTGTGGATCTGACTCCTTCGTTAGCCCGGAATCCTGTTGTGCCGACCCTTATTGACCCACGACAGTAGCTAGGCGCTGGCTGGAAGGGTCTACGGAGTCTCTGTCAGTGTTGCCTACATTGATAGAGACTACGGTGTTGAGACTTTGAAGAGGGGAAAGGAATGCAGGCTGTAATTGCGACAAGGGTTGGTACAGTATCCCCGGGAAAAGAATGGGTCTTTTATTGGAGAGTACCTCATTATTCAAGATGAGGTGCTGGGAGCCCAGTCCACCAAGAACTGTACTTTCGTGTGGGGGCGTGAGCAATACCGTACCAATCAACAGGTAGTCATCGTTACTTAGTAGTACTACCTAGTACTCAGTACTGTTGGCCAAGTATGTACTTACAGTACATACTGTACCTGACATTGCGGTGAACAGCGGAAGATGGGCATGCGTTGAGAAAAGAATACTTTTTTTATAAAAAAAAAAGAAAAAAGAAAAGAGAGAGAGAGAGAGAGAGAGAGAGAGAGAGAAAGAAAGAAAGAAAGAAAAGAAAAGAATATAAAAAATGAACAGGTTAGTGTGATATACCTGTATCATTGGTTGTTGAGTCTCCTGTACCTCGTATAAAATAAAATGACAGACTGAACAGTTCATCAGGAATATACTTGGTATCTCGAGGACTCCCAACGTGGCAGGTCAGTTGTTGTCAGGCACTTCAATCGCAAGATGAGGAATTGGACCGATGCTTTGTCGTTTATGCAGGAACCATCACACAGCAGCAGTCGATGGGGGAACACATCATCATGGATTCATGGCGACTTGTCATCTCATAACAATGCGGGCGCATTCCATCAATCTAATCATGATGATCGGAATGGAGATGTGACATCAGCGTCAGGGGACACGTCGAATGACCCACGGGTGAGATGGGCCAGGTTTCTCGATCTATAGTCAAACAACCTGTCTTGAGAAGAAGAATCAGAAACTAAGGAATGTACTCTGGAGTAAGCTGAGTAGGAGTTCGTCAGGTACGGGAACCCAAGTATAGGTACCGTATGGTAACCACGGTCAAGGTGTGATCAACCCGGCGGCCGTTCCAAGGGACTTGAGTCTCGACCGCCGTGGGCAGTGGACCCTTCAGGGTCTTCTGCACCAATGGAGACCCTGAAAAACAAGGCCAACGGGGAAGCTCAGGTACCGATGCCTCGACCCAGCCAATGAGTAACGGCAACACTTCTCGTGTCCCCTGATCGGCCCCCTTTTCATTAAATGAACCCATTCATGGTGGCCTCGCACTCAAAAGTATTATTACACTGAACCTTCCCTCCCCCCCCGGTCGCTTCCTGATCTCTTTATTTCTATCTCTCTCCCCCTCTCTCTTTCTCTTTCTCTTCTCTATCACGATTCCTTCCCTTCCCTCCGGGTTCGCAAATACGCTCCTTTCGTTATTCTTGTTTTATAGAGCCTCTGGTTGCTCGAGACATTCCTTGGATCTACCCAACACACATTCCTTGATCTTGTTTGCGTTCCCTGGGTTGTCGTTCTGCGACATATACCTACTGTGATACCCACATCTTCCGTACATAACCTTGGTTACCTGTGAAAATCCAACGCAATTTATCACCATGCAGCTCAAGAACTCAATGCTCCTGCTCACGGCGTTGACGGCCGGTTCCGCCGTCGCCCGTATGCACGGCCATGAGCGCCGTCATACTCATCACCACCTGCAGCACGACGAGAAGCGCGCGGTCGGTGATATGGTCTATGCCAACATCAACGGTGTCTGGCAGTCCTGGATCAACGAGTGGACCGGCCACGCCACCGCTACCTCCGGCTCCGGCTCCGGTTCCACTCCCACTACAGCTTCCTCCTCGGCTTCTTCTGTTGTTTCCATCACCGCTGCCCCTAGCGCCAGCAGTGGTCCTACCGTGACCACCCCCGGATCCTGCAAGGAGTGGCATGCGGACAGTGGCTCGTACACCCGTGAGGGCTTCGGAGAGCAGACCAAGAACAACGGTCTAGAGTACATCAACTACATTGGCAATGTTGGCAAGCCGTACGGCAGCAACATCATCGAGGTCCCCGAAAGCAAGGCCTGTGAGTACAAGCATGTTGTCCGCATTGACGGCAGTGAGAAGGAGC